TTTTTTTTTGTAATAGTATGTGGTAGTTCTTATATGAGATCTAATCTATGACATTATACAACTATCTATTTTGAGATATTATTTTATTTAGTGCAATTTGGTTGCATGTCTCAGGTAAATTAGTCAAGTAATTTTTAGAAACTGAGTTAACTTGACTTTGTCTGACATCTATGACATTTAACTTAGGGTGTGCACAAGTAAGCACTTAAAATTTTATAAAGTTGAAGAAGTAGAAACACGCGTCCTATGGGGAATAACACACGTAGAAGCCACATAAAATGTCGCATAGGACGTGAATTATATTGTCATGTAGGACGTCAAGTAGAACACAAGTGTCAACTTGTTCAATTTTATACAAGATTATGTTTCTACTTATGAACATCTAAAATTGAAGGATATAAATGTTAGATGAAACCAAATTAAATGATAGATTTATGTATTATGCCTTTAGAAAAAGTATATTTAAATTCGAAATATTTTTAGCATAAAATTTAACCAAACATGACTTCAACTATAAAATTTTTAAATAAAATAAACAGTATTTTTTTATGACCAAACCACACTAAGAAAGGAAATGATTTAAAGCCCTCAAATTTAATTTTTTGGTATGAAAAAATCTCATTAAAAATTATACATTCAAAAATATTATTTTAAAAAAATAAAATGTATCAGCTTGTATGTACAGGCTTTTGAAGTAAATCAATAAAAGGTGTCCATGTAACTTTGTAATGATTTCTTTTACTCCTCCCAATGTATTGGTACACGTGTGGCCATTAGAATCCACAACTATTAGTGTTGGATACATTGAGAATTACATAAATTTTGGTTGGTTTTTCTGGAAATTTTAATACTTTATGCACAACGTATAATTAACTAAGCTTGAAATTTTTTTTGATTGACAAAAATGCCCTTGATCGTCCTGGTCGTCTTCACCTTTCTATATAATAGAAATATTGTTAACAAATTTTTAGAAGCATTTGATAATGGACACACACACACACATATATATGGAATTGATGACAATGATTTTTCTTCTCTATTTAAAAAAAAATAAATATCTATAAATATTTAACTGTAAATTACTCAATTATTATTATTATATATTAATAAAAAATTATTATAAAAATCTATAATTTTAAATTCGCCTCTAATATTTCGTCTGACTTAGGATTAAGGAGAAGTGTCAATATCAAAGATGAGGTGAATAACATCATGCGACTTGCTTATTGAGTTAAGTTAAATTATATGATAATGTTTTTGACTATAAAAACCAAGTTGGGAGGGCATATATAGTTCTCAAATCTCAAATGTCACCACACACGTTTCTCCTCAAATCCATAAAATTTCTTCTTGGAAGATTAGGCAAATCATTTTTTGACGACTTTTATCACCTAACAACATCAACTCACTATGTTCACTTCTCTTTTTTTTATATTTTTTTGGGTGTGGTGGGGGTTAATTCAAAATGAAATTAAAGCCTGTTTCAAACAGTCAATTCGTAGTATTTGATACTAAATACTGAATACTTCTTAGTCTAAGACAAGATCTCTTAGGAGTATTAACTACACTGTAAACGCTCTTTTGTGTCTGGAGATTAGGTTGTCATGTCCCCCTTTGGCTCGGTAATTTTTGCTACTTATACGGAGTTTACATGTTTCACACATATAAATTGATCCCCACATGACTAAAAAAAATATAGATTCATTTTTTTTGGAGCAACGGTTAGATAAAAGGATATTTTAAAACTATTTTACTAGTTGGAGAGCATTTTTTAACAAAAAAATAATAATGTTAAAAGCATTTTTGAGCCGCAAAAATATAATGGTGGATAAAACTAACGCATTTGGAATAGTTCATGAATATATTTGATCCATTTTCCAATAAGAAAGAAAAACATTTTTGAGCTATAAAACATAATGGAAGATAAAAAATAATACATTTTGAATAGTTCGTGAATATATTTGACCCCTTTCTCAAAAAGAAAAGAGATGTCTTAGGCCTCATAGCAGCTCAAACACAATTATCTCATCAGAAATATGTCTTGAAATTGTATAGGTAAAATTTGAAACTTTATGATATAGCTATTTTATATTATATTTAGTAGTAATAATAAATACGTGTATTTATAATCAACATTCTATCTAAATGTCATTAAAGGTGTTAGTGATTCTGAATGCAATGTCATTAACTCAATTACTACTAAATGTTTTGAGATAATACCTATTGCCTCTAAAGAATATTTCTCTATTTTTTATTATCTATTTCACTAGTTTATCATTAATAGAATTCTATTTTATGTAGTGATTATCATCATAAACATCTTGTAAAACAAAATATGTATATATATCTCTGCTGTAACTATAGAAAGAAGATCAAAGGAACCAGGGCCGGCTCTATGCATTGGGAAATAAAGCTTTTTCCTTTTGGGGCCCAAATTTTTTATCAATAATAAATTATGTTTTAAAATTTCTATAGAAAAAAATGATTATTTATTATAAAAATATATTTTTAAAAATATATTATTTTACCCACTTAAGCATTTTTTGTACTTTAATTTGTTAAAAACAACAATTAATAGTGAAAAGTATTGAACGAAGTGAATTACAAATTCTTTTTTTATTTCTTTTTAAATTTTAGTTTCAAGCATTACTATAAGCATATTAAAATGGGGTATACCAAGTCATCAACTTTTTGAGTCAAATTTTATGATTCTAACGCTTATATTTATTTAATATTTGTTAACTTATTACTTTTGAATTATGTTAACAATTCATATACTCAGTGCCTCACTGAAAGGATGTTTCTCAATGTTGAGTTAATGAAATCTTACCTAAAACTAATAACTGAAAAAACAATTTAAATACTAATAATTTTCATTTAAATAGTGTAAGAAAAATATTTTTTTTGAATAAATACATATATAAAGTTTGTTTATATTTTAGGCCTCGAATTAAAAAATTTCTTTAGGCCCCCGATAACGTTGAGCCGCCCCTGAAAGGAACATAATAATAATATAGTTTTGTTTCCTTGTAATACTCATGAGTAGGTTGAAATGTCCAATATTAACAAGAAATAAAAACATGGGGCGGCAACAAAAGTTAGAGCATTGAAAATAATAGTGAATACAATGAATCCTACCACTCAATTAATTCATTTGGTGACCTTAAATTCTTTATAAAATAATCAATCTTCACTGTTGGTTAATGAATTAATGGACAAAAGTACAAGTGAGGAAGCCGTTGACGTATTAAAGTCATACATAAAATATTTTGTTGACTTGCGTTTTTGTTATCTTATTAAGCGTGCAAGAATATAATCGTGCTCAGGTTTCTATTCTATTATAACTTTAATTTAACCAAAACCTCAAATAATTCATATATAGTCAGCCCTCTTATTGTATGTGCATGTATTTATTTGTTGTTTACCTTTTTTCGTTGAAACTGCTATTTTTTTCTCCTCCTGAATCCGTCTATGACAACAATTTACAATCATAAATATAAAGGTGTATCAAATCAAAAAAGAAAGTTTGGAGTCTAGCTAAAGCAAATTACAAATCTTCCCCTTTTTTAAAATTGAGTTGGATTTAAATGTGAATGCAGTTATCAAGACCTTTTTATAACAATTATCGTACCTTCATTAGAACGATCAAGTTTTCTTTATTACTGACTTTCATATTATGTTACATTATATATTCTTTATAATTAGAACGTCCCAAAATAAATTCAGATAAACAAAATTGTTACAAAAGATTTGACGATAGAACTCAGCGTGTGTCCACAATAAGACCAGAATAATCATATTTTGTGCTTTCTGCTTCAACGTTTTTGCGCGTGTTGTAATTCTGCCAGCAGAATTTCAGTTGACACGTCAAAATTAAAAAGCTGAGCTAGTCTTCGATAAATAAATAAGCCTCCTCTTTAATATTATGATTTAAGTTTTTAGATGAATCGATCACATAATTTAGTTACATATAACATGGTTCGATCGACTCACAAAACCCTGGAGGCCTGGACCACCTCACATTGAAAATGTTTTTTTTTAGAAACCAAAGAAAATTAACAACGACTAAAATATTTTGATAGGACATTAGTGTCAACTTGCTGGTAAAGAAAGATAATTTCATAATATTAATTATAGTCATGATATATAATTATTAATCATCTTAATTAATACGAAATCAAGCATGCTTGTTCAGTTCATGTCAATTATAAAACTCTCATTCTTTGCCGACCATGACCTCTTCTCTTAATTCATGATAATCTCATCTTAATTCATCTTCTTCACATCATTAATCAATTGTCCTTTTAATTAATCCTATGGAGAAATCCGACCAAATTGTTACATGGAGCTCTGAGGAACTATTAGGTTTAGGGAATGTTAAGTTTTATAGATGTAGCTTTTGTAAACGAGGTTTTTCGAATGCACAAGCATTAGGTGGACATATGAATATTCATAGAAGAGATAGAGCAAGGCTTAGAGAATTTTCAAGTGATCAAAATTTGCTTTCATTGGATATCAAAAACTCCGTTTATCCTCCTCCTCCTCGTCCTCCTCCTGGAAATGATGAGTTGTTGCAACGAGAAGTATCATTATATGATGAGGGAATAATTTGTAGCCCCTCGAAAAGGCCATGTGTTAAGGTCATGAGTTGTGATCATAATCCTCCTCCTCTTCCTCCTGCTCTTCCACATGATGTCTTGTTGCAACGAGAAGAATCATCTTATGGTGAAACAATTATTAGTAGCCCCTTGAAAAGGCCATGTGTTAAGGTGAGTTGTGATCATAATCCTCCTCCTCGTCCTCCTCCTCATGCTCTTCCACATGATGTCTTGTTGCAACGAGAAGTATTATCATCGTATGATGAAACAATTATTAGTAGCCCCTCGAAAAGGCCATGTTTTACATATGATCAAGAAAAGGATCATTATGATCATAGTCTTTCTCTTGTAAATGATGATTCATTACAACGAGAGGTATCATCATACGATGAGACAATAATTAGTAGCTCCTCGAAAAGGCCATGTGTTACATATGATGAAGAAAATGATCATCTAATTACATCCAAGGTGAATTATTATGATCATAATCAAGAAGTGATTATTGGAGATCTTTTGCAATTACCTTTATTCAAGGAGACTCCATTAATTAAAGAAGCAAGCAAATGTTTGGAAAACGAGAAAGTAGAAAACAAGGGGATATTGGAGCAAAATCATGTTTCAATATTGGATCTTGAGCTTCGGTTAGGGATGGAACCACCCGAGTCCTTGACAGAGACAGATCCATGATTTGAACTTCATAAGTTTTGAATTTGAAGTTTATGTGATCTAAGTTTACCATATATACATATTCAACTAATTTCTCAACAAATATATACAATTTAGACTTCATTTCAAAATTATTGAGTTTTACCAAATCCGGAGTTGCAGTTTATACTTGCTAGAATCCATCAAAGAGGTACTTTTCTTTACTCATCCTTACAACTTCCCTCTTTTTATTTTATTTAAAATATGTAATATTTATTTAAGTTAAACGATCTAAATCAACAAAAGGGTATTGTTATTTTGTTATTTTTCTCTCTTTTTCCTAAACCTTAAACGTTTGCTAAGTACGCATGCTTGTACTCCTATGCTAAAAAAGATATTTAATTCATGTTATATATTTTGGATCAGAAATAGTTTTCTTGAAGTTTAGGTGTACTAACTCAAATGCTATA